CTGCCTCCTGGAGACCACAGTCGACAAGAAAGACTGAAAAGATGAATCATACCTTAAAGAAAACAATGGCCAAAATCTGTCAGGAAACCAGCCTTACATGGCTTCAGGTTCTTCCCATTGCCCTTCTCAGAATTAGGGTAGCCCCTAGAAGCAGACTCCAATTGAGTCGGTATGAAATGTTATATGGGAGACCCTTCCTCAAACCCTGGGACCCTGGGTATTGGAGTCACACAGACTTGCCTGTGACCAGGGAACTAGATAAAGTCAGGTATGTACAAATTCTTTCTATTACTTTAAAGGCTATTAACCATTATGCAGACAGCAGACTTATGTTTCCCACAGATACCCCACTCCACAACCTGAGCCCCGGAGACTGGGCGCTGCTCAAGAGCTGGAATGACTGGACCCCCAGTCAACAACTATGGGCTCGATGGGAAGGACTTTATGAAGTTCTCCTGGTCACACACTCCTCGGCCAAACTGAAGGGGGTCCGACCTTGGATACATCACTCCAGACTCAAGCTTGTGCCCCAGTACGAGACTGATCCTCCTCAAATCAACCAGACCGCTCATCCCTGTGACACCGGGAATGGATTGACAGGGGACAGTGAGTAGAGAGGAGCCCACTACCCTGATCTTTGCTGGTTACATCAACCTGTAAAGATAGAATATGATATTGAACCTGTTGATGGACTAAAAGTCCTGTTTAAAAAGAAGAAAGTTCCTAGCAGCTAAGTAGCCCCAGCTTTTATTTACTGATGTTTTCCGTGCATTAGACCCAGTGTGCCCTAAAGGCACAGACTGTTGTCTTGGCATGATTATATTTGCTATACTGGTTGTCATTTTCTGGGCTTCTATACTTTACTGTGTCCTGCCTGCTGGACTTAACCATTTTCTCTGCTCCAACTAAAAGCCAGAGTACTTCTATCCTCTCTGTGCCCAAGAGATGAGGTATCAAATGGGCCTCCGCCATGGTGCATGCTGAAAACCTCACCTCTTGTTAGATACGTCAGCTGGAGTAAACCCTATGTCACCTTTGTGAACAACTTCACTGGCATAGCCCTACCACTCCACTTTATCTGTCTACCCCCTTGGTCCCTTTTTCCTACCTATGGCCTGCGAATCTTAGCCCAATTGTCTCCTAGTACCCCCGCCTTTTGTTTTCCTCTCACTTCCAGTGTTTCCTTAACAATTAATTACACCTTTTACTCTTAGTGCCTTCAAGGGTCCAGTGATTCTGTCCCCAGACCCGGGCAAGACCTGGGGCGTGTTCTGACTAGTGAGTGTAAATGGGTGACAGACACTTGGAACTTCAGTGTCGGCTGTGTCTCCTTGCTCTTACCCGTTTTACTGGAAATAGGTTAAAGGCTACTGGCCTTTTGGTCCTCTGTACTACTCCCCCGAGGGAAGGGCACATGCCTCCCCAGCCTCTGGACCAGAAATCTCAAATCCAGACTTAGGCCAAGGCTTTTCTCCAACAGTGCCCCCCTTCAGCAGGAAACAACCGTGAGCAGTTGTCACCCCCATTCCCATGATTGGCAATGGTACAAACCACATGGGGGAGTTGTTAGGGGGCCTTAAAAAACACCTAATTAATTAGTCCTCCACCAGTTATCAGGCCTTTCCCAATCACTTCCCTGCCAAGCCACTCACTTCCTCCTGGTTGTTTTGCAGGCTCTCTGGAGAATTCCTGACAGATCTGGATCTAACTGGCTTAAGGAGGTCAGACATGCGCAGAACAGACGAGGGTAACAGAAGACTTTGGACCCCCCCCACATACTCAATAGTATGGGAAAACTCAGGTCAAGGAACGAAAAGATTCATGTCAAGGAACCAAAATCACTGGACATACATCATCTGGAGTAGCCGAGCCCATTTCAAAAGCGAAGAGTCCCTTGGCTGCTTCCCTGCCAAGTCTTAGCCCCGCCCTGCAATAAATAATCAGTAAAATCTATGAATATGCAGGACTTCCTGATCCTGCCCACCTGCTTTCCTCCACCCCATATAAATATGTATAGTTCCCCAAACCTATAAAATGTAAATGCTTCCTCAAATCAAGGACCTCAATCTGAGGTCTATACCTCTGAGTTCTCGCTTGCTAGCCTGTGAAATCAACTCCTTGTTCCTCTCAAAACCAACCTCTGAGATTGGTCCAGTTTCAGAACTGCTCCACAGGGTTTCCAAGGATGCCGGTGGATTTGATTTTTGGTTAGCTCAGCAGCTGAGCTCTTAACCATTGCATCACCAGGGCTCCTGCTTAGACCCAGTACTGCTTAAATCATGGGATTACTTTGCCCCTACCCAGGCTCCGCCCAACCCTGCCCTTTCTCTGTGTCTAGGACCCAGGGATTCTTGCCCCGAAAACTTTCTCTTCTCCTGGTCTGGGCCTCCATTTAGACTCCTGATGTATTCTCTCAAACCTTGTAACCTTCAAGTCAGCACTGTTGCTAAGGTCTACCCTGCTTTCCTTGTCCAGGAAGCGCCTCAGTCACAGGCTTACAGAATTTTATTTTGGGGTTGCACCATCTAAGGTTGGACACTTTTCTTTTCAAATTTCTCACGGTTTGCTGTAGACACAACCCGGAATGGGGCTGCAGATAGACGGCGCGGGGCTCTTCTCCTGCCTTCCAGCCCACTGTCCACATAGGCCTCCTGCTGAAAACCCGTAGCTCCTGAGCAGGAGTAGGTGCCAATGCTGCAACTCTCGGTGCCCCTAGGGGAAAAGGGAGGAAGCTGGGAGAAGGAATTTAGATTAGGTTTGCAGCCCAGCTAATGATGATTGAATCAGGGTGTGTCATCATGGAGAAGGGCCAGCCCACGAGCTCAGCTGCCGTTGGCTGGTGACTCCAGGACTGGGGACATAAGCCAGCGCCGGGTGAACACTGCACTTACTGTGTCGACGAGACTCAGCGACATCGGCTCTGCGGGGAGGAGGGCGGGCTCCTCGCTAGGGCGCCGGCGGGATCTTGGAGAATCTGGAGAACCCATGAGTTGGGCATCAGGCGCGTGGGACCCCGGAGGCTCCTGGGGAGGGGAATGGTTGTCACCGAGACCTGGGAACCCCGCACTCTGGGCCCCAAGGGGGGCGGGAGAGGGAGCAAGTGCCTTGGAGATGTGGAGAGCCCTGACCCGGAGCCCGGTGCCAGGGGCTAGGCCGCTGAGCAGGGTGAGTGGTGAGGGGTGGGGGGCAGCAGGCGCGGGCAGGGACGCACGCGGGAATCAAGGAGGGGTGGCGCCACTGGAGCAGGAAGGGGACAAGTTAGTGCAGTGTTATCTACACGTAAAAGGAACCGGTGCGTGTGTCTGGGTCTGAGCAACAGATTTCGCCCCCTTCCCTCACTCCACACGTTACAAAACACTTCTCTCTGCTTTGGTCCTGGAATTCCCAGTGCAAGTCTCCAGCACTAGCGGTCACAGTGGCTTTTGGATGCCCAGGAATCCAGGGTGCTCTTGGGGGACTGATGGTCGATGTGGAAGTCCTAATAGCTGTGTGGCTCCATTTACCAGGTGGCCAGAGCTTCACACTTCTTTCATTTCCTCTGCACCTCTTGGGGATGCTGTTTTACTGTGTTCCCGCCAGACGGCCCTATCTTAACGCTTTATTGCTTCTCTTCTCCATTGCGTGGCTCCAGCTCTATTGCCCTGCCCCCTGCCTCCTTATCCAGCTGCTTCCCAGAAAGTAGTCTCGTGTACTGGTGAGTCATGGTTGGTTTCCAGGCTCTGCTTTTGAAAAACAAATCCTTGCTGGAGATTTGGTTAGTTGTGTTCAGCCCTGCCACACCCCAGTTCCATTTCCTTTTCTTCCCCTCTAGTATTTGTTCTTCCAAAGACCAAAAATGTGTGAAAGAATGGAACTTGGAACTGTGAGGAAGTTCTGGGTTCTGCTAGTGTAGGGGTTTTGGGTAAGTGTGTGCCCTTAGGTTTACCACTCTTCTGAGCTCCCTGAAGGATAAAGAGCCATGGTGAAGAGAAGATGGGAGTGGGCAGGGAGAGTGAGGAGTTGCAGGGAGAAAACCACTGGTAGGGGGAAAAGCAGGAGAAGGGTTCAGGGGTTGTGTATGACAGAGCCATAGATCTTTGCAGCTTGTTAGCAAAGTTTTTGTTAGCAAGTCGTTTTCAAACCGAGCCTCTAAGACAGGTGGGACCAATTATATCCCCTTGCTTTATACCAGTCAAGGAGCCCTGGTGGTGCTGTGGTTCATCACTTGGTTAACCAAATGGTAGTCAGTTTGAACTCATCAGCTGTGCTGTGGGAGAAAGATGTGGCAGTCTGCATCCATCAAAATTTGTAGCCTTGGAAACCTTATGGAGCAGTTCTACTCTGTCCTACAGAGTCACGAGGAGTCAGAATTGACTTGAGGGCAAGAGGTTTTGGTTTTTGCTTTATACTCAAGGAAAGAATTTGAGGCACAGGTTACTTGCTTAAAAAGACAAAATTGGAACTAGAATCCAGATTGAGTTTTGCTACACTTTGGACCAGACGTTCCTAAACCTGACTTTTGAGTCAGAGTTAGCTAAGGTACTTTTATAAAAATACGGATTCTGTGGCCTCTCCTCAGAATAATGAATCTGTAGGGTTAGGCCCCAGAATGTGTGTTTTTAACAAGCTTCTGCTGAGAAACGTATGCAGCCAGCCCCGCCCCAGCCTTTGACAACCAGCGCTGTGGACTGTGTCTGCTTTTTTGTGCAGTAGCTTATCTCATCTCTGATCTTGAGTTCCCCCTTGCAATTCCAGATGGCAGAGCTCTGTGTGGGCCTGGGGATCCCAAAAATAAGGATCCAGGGGAACTAGGGGTGGCACGTAGACTTCCACTAGTATTTCCTTAATATTGGGCTGAGGGAGGAACTGGAGGGTGAGGGTTCAAAAGAGTTTGCGCCTGCACTCAAAGTAGTTAAGTATTACATCTTGAGTAGGGGATAGGGAGGGTGCTAAAGAGGACTGTATTGGGTTTCTCCCTGCCCTAAGGAAGCTCTTAATCCCATTTTGAGTGCTCTCCCTAACCTTTCTCTTCAGGCCCAGCCCCTTCACCCTAATTGTTTTGATTATTTCACTTTCTCTCTCTGTATTGTCCATGGTCTTTCCCTCCCTATCTCCCTCCTTCTCATAAGGTGAGATATTAAAACATGCCAGTTGTAGCAACACTGGAGTTTGGGCTAGTAGTAGAAACAGCCTTTGTTAACTTTTGCCAGGGTCTGGAATGGAGTTGGTTTTATGTCAGACTTGGGCCTGATTCAGATAGAGGTGGGTGCTGGGGTGAGCATAGTATTACCTCTAGCGAGGGAGAGGACCCTCCTCTCTGCAGCAGCTCTTTGGCCAGCTTCTCTGTCCCCTGCTGCCTCGTATACCTGTCATCCTTTCTGCATTGACAGTCATCAGGCATTGCTCTGTGATGCCCTGGGAATGGGAGTGGAACTCGCCTTAATTTGTCTTTTTCCTAGATTCACATATGAAGATTACCAGAAAACAGCAGAATGGCTTCTGTCCCGCACCACGCACCGACCTCAAGTGGCAGTGATTTGTGGTTCTGGGTTAGGAGGTCTGGCTGAGAAAGTAACCCAGGCCCAGAGCTTTGACTACAGTGACATACCTAACTTTCCCCTAAGTACAGGTACTGGCAGTGGAGACAGGAGGATGGGACTGAGGGATATTGATGGGATTCTGTGGAATGCAATGTGTGAAGGCCAGTGCTTCTAAGCCTGGACCTCTGGAGTATCTAGTTATATTCTTCAGCATTTAACCAAAAGCAAATGTTGATAGAGAGGAAAAAAGAATGACTAGAAGGGAATTACTCTAGCACAGATTCCATAATAGGCTGGGCAGGCTTATGTCAGTGGGACTACATGATGACATTTTTCCTATGCTCATCAGACTCAGAGCTCCTTAAAGCTCTACAATAACACCACACCCCCACCCCACCCAATGCCCCCGCCATATACCATTATCACCAAACACATTCCCTTCTCATTTCCTCCAGACTACAGCTTATGGTAAAAGCAATGTCTGAAAACTTCCCAGGACACAGCCAGGCCTCCCCTTTCCGATGTCTGCCTCCTCTGTACAGTGTCTTCCTGCCATCCTCCATGCCCCCAGCTGTAGCTACAGTCCTAGCACAAGGCTCTGATACCCAGCAACAAAAGAACACACAGACTGTTGTGTTCTTGCAGACACATACACAAATAATACAGGAATACACAAGACCTGATTTAGACTGACCCTTTGGACGGGGAAAGGGGCAGGTTGTCCCCTATCTACAGTAGAGCTCTGATAAGGAGAATATTTCCAATATGGCATCTGAGAATACTGTTGTTGTTGTTCTTAGGTGCCGTCTAGTCAGATCTGATTCATAGTGACCCTTTGTAGGACAGAACAAAACACTGCCCTGTCCTGTGCCACCCTCACAATCCTTGCTATGTTTGAGCCCATTGTTGCAGCCACTGTGTCAGTCCATCTTTTGGAGGGTCTTTCGTTGACCCTCTACCAAGCATGACGTCCTTCTCCAGAGACTGATCCCTCCTGATAGCATGTCCAAAGCATGTGAGACAAAGTCTCATCACCCTTTCTTCAAAGGAGCATGCTGGCTGTACTTCTTCCAGGACAACTTCTTCGTTCTTCTGGCCATCTATGGTATATTCAATGATCTTTGCCAAACTGTAATTCAAAGGCATCAATTCTTCTTCAGTCTTCTTTATTCATTGTCCAGCTTTCGCATGCATATGAAGCGACTGAAAATACCATGGGTTAGGTCAGGTGCACCTTAGTCCTTAAAGTGACATCTTTGCTTTTCAAGAGATTTGCCCAATGCGATGCCTTGTTTGATTTCTTGAGAATAGCATATTAATATTCTAACAACATTCTAGTAGTGTCCAGAAAGCTCTGAGGCTAAGACTTAAAAAATGGTCAGGTAAAATAGAGACAAGCAAAGGACAAGGGTAGTTAATTTGGTTTACTTATTAATTTATTATGTAACTAACTGCTCCTGGTTTATATATTAATTTTTCTCATTTTTATCTTCCTCCTTTCCCTGGAGAGTTTAGAGGGTTATGAAATATTATTCAAACTCTTTTGAATAAGACTGGGAGAACAGCAGGGAGGTGGTAGTTGGGATTGGGGACGGGAATATTAAGAACAAGACAGAGTGAGGGAGAGCATAGTTTTCTAGGAGAGATAATAGTGACATTGTCTCCATCTGGCACTCCTACCGTCAGTGAGACAGACACTGCACTCCGTGATAAGTGGACTAATTTTTTTTTTTAATCAATCTTTTTTTATCTTTCATTTGGGTTTTCATAAATGTCAGTGTTACTTTTGCTGTATGACTTTTTTTTTTCCCCCCAAATAAGCTTCTGTATCTCTCCACTCTCTCCCCTAGACCGTTCATTCCCTAAGTAGGTTGGCCAGGCCCATTACAGGAGACCGCCAGATAAGGGAAATCATAATAATAATGGTTATTATGTCTACATGGGGAATTATCTTGCACTCCTGAGCCCCATGTGGGAATGTATTCCCACGGGTCATAAGGGAGGAGACATGAATGGGTCCAGACTCAGGCCCTTTCTGCCTTGTTCATTAACCTGCTCTTTAGGAAGCTAGAGGAGATCTTGAGCTTCGTTTCTGAAGTATGAAGCATATAGTTTGGTTAGGGCAATAAATAAGAATATGTACCTTGAGAATTTTGAAAATTTTTGAGAAAGAGCTCTATAATTACTGCATTTACTTCCTCATTACCCACACCTTTTTTTAGTTACTTCTTATTCTCTTGTAGCACGACTTTCTCATTCTTTGAAATTTCTTTAAAAATGCCTTTTCTTCCTTCTTTTGATGTTCTGTGTTCCCATAGAACATTCTTTCACCCATAGCTCTAATCTCAGGTTGTACTTATATAGTTACTTGTACAATTGTGATTCATGTCTTATCTCCCACATCAGACTTAAACTTTCTGAAAGCAGAGACTAATGTCTTTTTTTGCTTCATTATACCCTCACATGTTGAGTACACTGAGTGAACCATAGTAAGTACTCAGTGGATGTACATTACATGAAAGCATCATCTCATTCATTTCCTTTTCTTTTTTGTGCACAGTTCCAGGACATGCTGGCCGACTGGTGTTTGGGCTCCTGAATGGCAAAGCCTGTGTGGTGATGCAGGGCAGATTCCACTTGTATGAAGGCTACTCAGTCTGGAAGGTAAATGGGCATAAGCCTGGTTGGATCTGGGAGAAGGGGGAGAAAAAGACCTATCACAAGACAGGTCTTTTCTTAACTCTTATTTTATAACCAACCTATCTAGGCTAGAGGGAGCCCTAGTGGCACAGTGGTGAAGAGCTATGGCTGCTAATCAAAAGGCCTGCAGTTCTATTCCACCAGCTGCTCCTTGGAAACCCTATGGGACAGTTCTACTCTGTCCTATAGGGTTGCTGTGAGTCAGAATCGACTTGATGGCAATGGGTTTGGTTTATCCGGATCTGGACTAGGTAGATTTTTGGTCCCCTCCTTCCTCTTCTTTCATGATGGATTTCATGTATATCTGTGTGGCTGCATTGGTGAGATTTCAAGCCCTTTCTGATCTTTTGCTTTGAAGGTCACCTTCCCAGTGAGAGTCTTCCGGCTCCTGGGTGTGGATACCCTAGTGGTCACCAATGCAGCTGGAGGGCTCAACCCCAAATTTGAGGTCGGAGATATCATGGTGCTCCGTGACCATATCAACCTGCCTGGTTTCTCTGGTCAGAATCCCCTTAGAGGCCCCAATGAGGACAGGTACATTATTTTGCTCCTTTGTTTATAGATGGCTGGGTCTTAAGGATTTATTTAAGAGTTCAGAGAGAGCTCATTGTATTCCATTAATCTGAGGTGATCTTCTAACCTGTGCCCTAGGTTTGGAGTTCGTTTCCCCGCCATGTCTGATGCTTATGACCGGCAACTGAGGAAGATGGCTCACATTACCTGGAAACAAATGGGGGAGCAGCGAGAACTACAGGAAGGCACCTATGTGATGTTGGTGGGCCCCAACTTTGAGACTGTGGCAGAGTCTCGTCTGCTGCGGCAGCTGGGGGCAGATGCTGTTGGTGAGAAGGGAAACTTGGCTGGGGGTTTGACGAAGGAAGGATCTGGTAAAATAAGGATTGGGAGGGGTAGGAGATTATAGACCTAGAGGGTGGAACAAGAGATAATCTGATTTAAGGGAGACTGAATTGACCTGACTTCTATTCTGGGAAGACACGAAAGTAGTGAACACCAAACACCAAGGGCTTTAACAACTACAGATAATGTTGTTGTTAGGTGCTCTCCTGTTGGTTCCGACTCATAGCAACCCCGTGTACAACAGAACGAAACACCGCCTGATCCTGTGCCATCCTCACAATCCTTGCTATGTTTGAGTCCACTGTTGCAGCCACTGTGTCAATCCATCTGTTGTACATAGGGTCATTATGAGTCAGAACAGACTAGACAGTACCTAACAAGAAATAACAACAACAATGAATGAAGGTGAGGCGAAAGGGTGAGGAAAAGAGTTATTTGAGGATCGTAACAATTGGTTTCCATCTTTCTGCCCACCAGGCATGAGCACAGTACCAGAAGTTATAGTTGCACGTCACTGTGGGCTTCGAGTCTTTGGCTTCTCTCTCATCACTAACATGGTTGTCATGAGTTATGACAGGCTGGAAAAGGCCAATCACGAGGAAGTACTAGAGGCTGGAAAACAAGCTGCAAAGAAACTGGAACAGTTTGTCTCCACTCTTATGTCTTGCATTCCGCCCCCTTGCAATGCCAGTTAATCAGCCTCAGATTGGTCTGGCCTCTGCCTTATGGGATCTGAGAAGCTGTTACCTACTTTGGCCCCTGGTTGGGGTCACTTGTCTTGCCCTATCCTTTACTCTTGCCCTTAGGTAGTAACAGATAGGAGAGGAGGATTCCTATCTTTTATTTTCCCCAACTTCTGATGCCAAGTTCAATTTTTTGCTCAGTTATTCTCTGAAAGCAGTTTCCATCCCCGTTCTTCCCGAGGCCAGAGCCCACGCCCTACCACTCATCCGTGCTTATGCCCAGGATTTCACTTGAGTCTTTGAACTCGGCACACTAGCTACTGCTAACTTTTTGAGATAATGCTTTCACATTCCCGGGGTTTGAGTTCTGGTACCCCCATAGCACCAGAGACCACACAAGGACAAGCTCAATGCCTCTTTTAATTTTTAACACCATCATGTTTTGAGAATAAAGAGAAAGATGTATCATTCCTTCATTTTTGTGCAACTTGGTGAAGCTGGGAACACAGGCCAAGACTGACAGGAAACTCCTATGTGACTTTATCTGCTTCTCAGACAAGTAGCTAAGGCCTTATGTGAATTAGGTATATGAAGTCAGGAAAGGCAAAACGATGAAAACTTAGGGAAAGATAATGAGAAGGAAGAAAGGTCTAACTTCTGGCACATGATGTCACCACTTCCCTCACCCTAGTCTTACCTCTGTCTCTTGCCTTCTGATGGTTTCACTGCCTGTTTCCTCTCATGAATTAGTTCACTGATCTCAGCTTCTTCTCCTTAGTTGACACTTCTTTGTTAAGGCCCTAACTGCACTTTGTCTTGCTTTCCTTCTCTCCTCTAACTTCTGCCATAGTTGGTGGCAACCATACTCCGCTCTTTTCTGACAATGCAGTGACGAATCCCCCTTTCTATGCTGCCAACCACCCCACTGCTGATTAGATTCCTGTCAGCCCCTGGCCGACCTGTGAGGTTGGTTCATACCCATTTCTTCTCTTTAAGCACCTCTTGCCCTCCCTCTGCTTCTTTCTAGCAGCAACCTTTCTCTTCCTTTTTGCTTGGTCAGAACCTCCCGGTGATGCTGCGTCCAGACATTGCCCTTTGTTGGCTCACTGCCCCATTTTTGCTTATCAGCTTGCATTCAACTGGCTGGCGTGTTTGAAAACAGTCTACCACACTACCCTCCCAGGCCTACTTACCTCTTAAGAAACGACAGTGCTGGATAAGTCTCTAATAGTGGTGACGTTTCAGTTATTGGTGGTATAATATGAAGAAAGTATTTTGGACAGGGAGACTTTGAGAACTCTTTCATATCACCCTTTGTTTGGTAACTGGACAAATTAAGAAATCCTGAAGTGGCCCTGTCACCACTCCTCCCTTGGTCTGTTATTTGTACCTCCACTTGCCTTCCAGGACCTGTAGGCAGTCTGCTAGCATCTGTTAATTGTCTCAGAGCTGGCTGCCTGTAAGAACTGGCTCAGAGGGAAGTACTGCATATCCTTTAGGTATATACAGGAGCTTCCTAGGTATATACACAACTATAATTTATTCATCTAATGGGATGGTTTATAGACATTTCTGTTTAATCAGTTATTGAACATCTCTTTGTATAAGGCTCTTGCCTAAGCAAATGATAAAATGAGTGAATGTAAGGAAGGTGTTTTTTCTCCCAAGTGCCCTCAAATCTTAAGGAAGACACGTTTGTAAAGCCGTTAATCGTTACATACCAGTTACCAGTTGCCATCAATTCTGACTCATGGTGACCCCATGTGTGACAGAATAGAACTGTGCCCCATAGGGTTTCAACGGCAGTGATCTTTGAGAAGTAGATGGCCAGGCCTCTCTTCTGAGGTAACTCTGGGTGGATTTGAACCACCAATCTCTCAGTTAGTAGCAGAGTGCTTAACTGTTTGTACCACCCAGAGACTCCAATTTTTATCTAAGGCAGTATAAAACAGATACCACTACATACTGTGGGAGCCCAAAGTAGTGACTGATTGTATACACTGGGCAGTGAGGATTGAGTTGATTAGAGAAAGTTTCTCAGAAAACTTTGAGCTTAGTCTTGAAGCATGAGAAGGGAGGAAGAGAATTTTATACCAGGGTGAGCTAAGTGCAGAACTTTGAAAAGTACTAGGCATACTCTTGGATCATTGCCATAACTGGTGTAACTAGAACAGAGGACAGTAAGGGCTCTTAAGAGACACGGTTAGAAAGGTATTTGGAGGCTGGAAGAGGGCTGCATTTGGTCCTTGGCTTTCCCACCCCTGCTCTGCCTCTTATTGAGATAAATGGTGCCACCTGAACAATACGTCCCGGAGAGACTTGAGTGGAATATTTTGGGACACTTCTAATTTTTGAAACTTAGTAAATTGGTAACCTGTAGAGAATTCCATGTGTTTCCTGATAGAATACTAGATTCAAGAAAAAATTATACATTTGATATCCTAGTCCCCAGAGTTTCTAATTCTTCAGTTCTAAGTTAAGCTTAGGAAACCCTCTGAGGCAGTTCTGCCGTGTCCTGTACGGTTGCTAGGAGTCGGAATCAACTGGACTACATACAACAACAACAGAATCGTAGGACTTAGCTACTTTATGCAAGTGTTTATTACCATATTTATGTAAGGGCATTAAAAATATTTTATGGTAACAAACAAATTAGGTTCTTCCTAGTGCAAACTAAGTGGTGTGACAATAAAAAGTAGTTACAGACAAGTAATGGATATTTAATTCTAGGTAGTAAGTATTCTAAGTGAATGAACTAGAATTCTTGTTTGGAAAGGGTATGGGCTGGGGAGAGAAAGCATGCAGACATAAAGTGTTTTCAGTTCAGTGTATCAACTGTCTTCAATGTCAGCGTGCCAACCAACTCAGCCAAAAGTGAATGCATCAGTTTGGGAGAGCATAGAAATAGAGGCACAAAGTCAAGGGAAAGAAACATCTGGGAGGGCCACCAAGAGAAAGTAATTTCTTGAAAACATTGGTGATGAGACCGCTCCTTTCTAGTGGGGCCTGCAGGATACCTGCAAACAAGAACTAGATTTTGCTGAGTCTCCTGGTAGGTGTCAAAACACACACACTCCATCAAGTCAGGCTTTCTTCCCTGACCCTAATATGATGTTATATGTTGTATGTATATAATGTTGATTAACATTAATAAATGTTTGTTAATAATGTGGTAGTATAATCCTGTGATAGTATACCGTTTTAAGGTTATAGGTCTTTGATTATGGAACGCTGTGCTAAAAGCCATACTTGAAATTGATATAAGACAAAGTGCTTGCAATCTAGATGGGAGACAGGATAAATAATGAGGCTGAGTTAGTCATGCCCTCTATGCCTAGCTTTTAGTCTTTTCGTAGGTTATATTGTCATTGTTTAGAAGTCGGCTTCTTCCACTGCAATGTGAGGGAGTAGGACTAAATTTTTTAAAAAGGAATAACAGCAAAAGTAGCATATGCTAAGTGCTAAATGATGGCATGTTCTACTGGAGTTCAGAGAAGAGAACCAACACCAGGGATCCAAACTCGTTGCTGTCGAGCTGATTCCAACTCACAGTGACCCTAGAGGACAGAGTAGAACTACCCCATAGGGTTTCCAGGGAGTGACAGGTGAATTCTTTTAACTGCCAACCCTTTGGTTAACAGCCAAGCTCTTAACCACTGTGCCACCAGGGCTCCAACACCTGGGATGGGGGACAGGAAAAGGATCGGTGAGACTTGACTTAGACC